ACCAGTTAAACAGTGTGCTCCTTGCAGCAGACACCTGTACATATGTGGGTATATCACCAACACTGACAAATCACTTTGTCGAAACATCAACGTTCTTCCTTCTGGTACCAGTGATTCGCGTTGTGATTTTTTTGAACAGAAACAAACTGCTAGTGTTGGGTGTTCAGCCCAGCAGAGCAAGAACTGTGACTGCGGTAGAAAGCCGTCCTCCATTCCCATCGTTAGTAAAGGGCTGCTCGTTCAGCAGCTTCCTGATAGCGGTTCTACAGCTGCACGCGGTCCAACAGTAATCTCCTGCCAGCTGATCAGATTATTCTTCCATTTAATTTTACAGATAGCACCTTTTTCTAGCATTCTCAGCATTTATGGGGTATTAACCATGGTATCACAATGACTGGACAGTTAGGGGTTTTGTTGTGCATCTATCATTCCGCTCCATAAATGTGTTGTGTCTGCGTAGCTGAAGATTTCTGTTCTTCATCCCTCACCAGCAAGGCAAATTTATTTTTCTTAATGAATAATTAAAAAGTTGAGGAATGTCCTCTCTGCATTTTTGCAAATTTCTGAGTATTTTGTCTAGAATAGTTGTTGTCCTCATTTGTTACAACTAAATCATATTTAATATATAATGGGTAATGCTATCTATGATTTATGAACTGATCTGGCAAATGGAAGTTAATAACATACGGATCTCATTAATTAATCTCTCCCTAGGATGCATAAGAAAAATATTTATTTAATTTTTCATTTACAGCAACTATTCATAAACGTTACCTAAACATTGGAAAATGTTCTAGGAAAGTGCTGCACTGGTATCTGTGGGACCTCAAGGCCAACACCTTCTACTCAGATGCTGCAGTCATCTTTTGTGCACCTGCCTTTCCAAAACCCAACCCATGAGCTATACCCCATGCCCGTGCAATCTGGCTGTGATATCCAAGCAAAAATCTCTACTTGTTTAGACTTTCTATCAACTGGTGTTCCCAGAAAAGTCTTTCAGACGCAGGCTCTGATGGGGCAACACATGAAGATTCCTGTCTTACTGACTAAGACCACAGTCTGTGCCCTTGGCAACTTCCTAGATAAAGACGCAGTGCTTGCTAAATTGCTTTTAGATTTTAGAATAGTAATTTTGAAAGAAATCAAGGCAACAAATTATTAGATGTTTATATAATGACATGAAGAAAAATAAGATTCCAGCTTTTCAGTACATTTTCATTTATTCATCTTTCACCAGATGAAGGAGCACAAGTTCAGGCCACAAAGACTCCCCTTTGACCGGACAAAATAAACACAGTGTCTTTCCCACTGGTAAAGGCCTACCCTAACACCTGCTGTAATCAGCGGAAGTATCTCCTAGCTCTCACCAGCTTTGTCTTGAGAGGGTGACGTGTACTTTGATTCATTTAAAACTTCAGTCACGTAAATTCGGACTCTGCTCTTGCCAAGTCAATGCCAAGTCCCCACTGATCTCAGTGTGGACAGAAGCAGAATTCATTATTAATGTTTATCTGGGGAGAACAGATTATTAAGCAGATACCTACCTGTACCCTTGTCATGAAATCCTGACTCATAATCTTATAAATAACTTTTTTAAATAGGATATGACAAAAAAGCAAATGGCTTTGGAAAAAAAAAAATCCTCAGAAATGTCTACTATATTTTGGAAGTATTCATGGAAGATCTGGAAGTATACGATGGAAAGATAGGTACATTAAAAATTATCTAACTTGTCTAAAAATTTGTTTGGACTCATGTATTAAATATATTTAGATATATTTTAGATGATTAACATAATTGTAGTTATTTCAAACTAATCTTCAGGTATAAATGTTATTGCCTGATGCTGATAAATTTTATTTACATTTTTAAAAATAAAATATTTTTGAAATAAATAAAAATGACTGGAAGATGCAGCTTTTGATGACAGAGCTAGAGGATTATATATCCACAGCAGATGTGGCTCACGCATACTGTAGCTGTGCTACAACGTGTGAAAGGCTAGAATGCTTAGCAGCTGAGAAAGGTTTATAGGGCACTGAGACGCCACATACAGAAGTGACATGACCTGTCATTTGTGTTTGCCTTTATTTCACAGCAGCACTTGAAACTATTAAAATCCTTTCAAGGGACATCATTGCTGAATGTAGGTACAAACCAAAAAATTGCCACCATTGGCGAGATGATGATTTGAAAATTTGTCTACAGACAACTGAGGAATTCCTGTTTGATATCTGTGTCTGTATCCTCATGACTGTCTCTGTTTCTGGCTAGTAATTGTGGTCATTAAGTAAAAAAGGAGTGGCACCAGCACGTGTCTGAAAATATGCCAGCTCTTAAAATTATTATGATCTCAGTCTGATCTCTCCGCATCTTGGATAAAATAATTTTTGTTCATCTTCTCTGGGCTTGGAATGAGAACCAAGGGATGGGATGGAAAGAATATACAGAAAGGATATGAAGAAATTGTATTTCCTAGGAAGGAGAACAACAAAGAAATTGTGTTATTAGTGCTATATAGAGGTAAAAGAGACTTGAAGAGTCAAAGATCAAAAAGAGAGTAATAGGGCACGCTTTGTAGCATGGGATTCAGCAAGAGTGTTTCTTCTCGAGGCTGAGGCAGCTCTATAACCAGCTAAGATGATGCTAACTGCCCAAGGGAAGAGGTGAGCAGCGATACTAAGCAGCCATGAGGGAATCCTAGGCCTGCCAAACAGCTCTGACTTCAGGTCACAGAAAGCTCGGGGACAGTCAAGAATTTAAAGCAGGGAAATGGACTTTAGGCAAGATTTTCACGTCTTTTTTTGTTGTTGAAAATAAACAAGCAATCTGGAGACACTACACACAGTTAGAGTTGCATACTTCAATAATGATGTATCTTAGAGAAGCAAACTTTAATCTTTTTATCTGTATCAGTGTATTTTCCTGAGGGAAAGGGATGAAGAGTCTGTGTGCATCCGGGGCACCAAGAACAGCAAGGCCCAGCTCAGTGGGCAGCACAGCCCCTGTGCCCTGGGCAGAGCTGGAGGGGTCCAGGAAAGAGAGTTCTGCTGGGGAAGCTGACGCAGTTTGTAAAAGCTGGGAGGTGATGACTTGGAGAAGGCAAACTGGTGACGGCCGAGGCACTCCAGTGACATCAGCCAACAAAACAGGTGCCTCTCTGCCAGCCAAGAGGTGTCCCAGTGCAAAAAATGCATTTTCACAATACACGAACGTGGATTGCTGAAGCCTCACGATTCCCTACTTCAGATGTTTGAACTAGCAGCAACCCATGACATGTTTTGTCACTGAACACATACCACACCACAGCATTGTCAAAAGGATAATTCAAATGGTGTGTACTAGGATTCCAAGAAAAAAAAAATCAGAAATTTAGCCTAATATGCAAAAACTTTGGTGGTTTGTTTTTTTTTGACTTTGGGGTTTTTTTTCTTTTTAAGCAAATAGCAAAAATCAGTCCCAGACAATGCTGCAGTTATAGTAGAAACCTCCTTTGGGAGTACAAATAGAGAACCCATCTGAAAAATTTATCAAGCTGCTGCACATTCAGCATGTGATGAATACAGCACCCTTGAAACACAGTGGGGAGCACTGGTGACAAAGTTTGCCTGCTGATGTACAGTATGGATGAGCACCATCTTTATCCAGACTGGCCTCAGGAAAGTCAGAGAGAGAGGGCACTGGCCAGGTTTAAAACAGAAAACGATTTGTTCTGGCTTGTCTGGCATTCCCGGAGCTCTTATGCGTTGCAGCCACACGGAATATGAAGACTGGGGAAGAGAAGAGGACTAGCTGCGACAGGCAAGCCTGACATTCTGCAGTGAAGCATGCACAACAGTTGGACTTGATGATCTTAGAGGTCTTTTCCAACCTTAATGATGCTATGATTCTATGCCTCTAGAAATAGTCCCCACGTACGCAGCCAGCCAGACATATGGGGTAGCATCGACCTGTGCTGTCTGCTGTCACCCTTACTCCTGACGACCCGGTATTTGTCTGTTTCTGAGCCACTCCGGACCACTGCCCATGCCATCCAGCACCTGTGTCTCTCCCAGCCTGCCATGTGTTCACTCACCTGAGCCTGTGTAGCTGGGCTTCAACGCAGTTGCACAGCTGCAGTGCCAAAAGAGCGTGAACTTGTACCCAGCGGGTGCTGGTGGATATGTAAGTTGAGGAGCAGAGGCTGATCGTGGACTAAATTGCAGCTGACTCTCTTTTGACATTTGATCACTGAGGAACATGTTGTTCTTCTGGTTTTGGTTTATTTTTTTTCTTTCTTGTGGGATTTGCTCTTTTTTTCCTTAATACAATAAGTCAGTCTACTGCACAGCTAGTTTTCATAAGGTTTATTTTTGTATTTACAAATATTTGTGGGTGATCAAGCTCTTCACGCCTGACCTAAAATAATGTTCTTCTAATCAATGCTCCTAGTGCTCATAAAAGAGCAAGAGCAAACTATGTGAGCAGACGGTTAGTCCCAACAGTGGCAGGCGGTTCCAGGGAGGGATGCACAGAGCGGTGCTGTATGGGGCCAGCTCGCTCACCAAGGCTGTAAAGCTGGATTCTCAGCACTCACCAGCCCACTGGGCCGCTGAGTCCGTTGGCCCAGGCAGACTGTCGCGTGCCAGTAGTGAGCCTGTTGCCATTATTACAGTTAAGGAAGTGTGATATCAATGGAGTGTACAGTAGAAGCATATCTTAACTCTCATGACTCTCTTAGCATCTTCAGAATGAGACAGAGAGTATTTTACCCTCTGCCTGGGTGGTATGGCTCAAGGAAGTGAGGAATCTGCATTGGGTATTTTCCACTAGAAACTAGATGGCCATTTTCCTTTTAGAAATTGTACGGATTAAACTACAATTCTCACGGAATGTCTATGGAAACAAAATACACATCAGGGCACACTCTTCTAATACCTTTCTTAGTTTTACAGGAGCAAATGAGAAATGGAATTATTTTTTATTTTGGAGGAGTATATTTTGTTACGATTTCCCTTTAGGTAACAAAGCAAGAAAAGAGTCTCATGAAACCTCTTTACGACAGATACAGAATTATCAAGAAACTTCTCGCAACTCCATCTTTGATCACAACAATTGTAAGTTGGAAAGAATTCATATCCATTGTCAAGAAAACATATGAAACGCTGTGTTGGATTTGAACCTGTATGTCAGTTTGGCAGCAACAGAACTACTGACATTTGAAGAATCTGCTCATTGGTTAATACAGGGTGTTGATATTTCAAATACAGCAAATACTCTGTAAAATTCAACTTCTAAGCATGCCAGAGGCCGTAATGTATGGCAGCAGTTTCTGGGGCAATCACTTCAAACTGCATAAGAGATCAAACGTTGCATTAGTTTTCTGTCATGGCTAATGTGCAACACAGAATGAAACCTGTCTCTTTCCAGGAAGCGCTATACTAGCACTATATCTATCTTCCATAGTTTGTTGACAATACTTTTATCAATCATGTAGCGCATAAATAGCATTTGCAGTACTTCAATTAATAATGTATCAATGTAATGTAACAGTACTGGTCTCACTGTGGGTAGAGGTTGTGGAATCTGGCTATTTGGGAGCGAATTAGCATGTCTATCAAAAATATTAATCTAACAGTAATTGGGGCTGGGTTGATATTAAAAATTATGAATTACTGTCTTGTTAGATGACAGTGGAGCTTTAGATTTCCTTGGAAAATCCCAGCATAAATCTTTTTGCACATGCACACAGTTATTTTATTTAAAAATTTAACTGAAGTTCCCTTGTGTTACTTCTTAGGAGCTTTGCTCCATGGAGTTTCTATGCTTAAGCCTCAGTTTCAAAACCTCAACTTTTCTTCTGAGGATGAAGGAATGTGAGGAAGACATTGGCATTGCTCTGTTTTGGTAGTTCATATTCATAGCTATAAAACTGTGGAATCTCTACCTCCAGCTCCTGTTACAGCCAGAATCTCCGGACATAATACGAAGAGTAGATGGTATATAAGCAGAGTACAAGTTCCAGCAAGACTGCACTGCTTACATAAAAACAGAATGTTCTTTAAATCTTTACTACATATAAAGGCTTTTGAGTATACAGAAATAAATTGCTGACTGGAGATACTGAGGAGCAGGGCCAGCTTCTGTCCTGGAACCCTGACCTCCTGTCCACATGACTTCAGTCACGGTGGACAATATACAGTGGGCCTCATGAGACCTCTTATCCTCTCATGAACAATCTTGGGTAGACTTGGGTAAAGCTTTCAATACATGTAATCTATTCCAGTGAATACATCCAGAAAGTTAGATCCTGATTCTTTTCGCTGTCATCCTATTAACCTTTAGCACTGTAATGTAAGCAACTGATTTAATAATGCTTTACATTTCACAAGCAGGAGGAGGAAGACTCAGATGAAGACCATTCTCAAAGCAGCCATGAGTTATCATCCGGTCCGATATCTTGCCTCCCTGTTGATGAGCACCTGTGTTACTCTCAGGAGGAGAGTGAACCTGCATATGTTTCTCCTCCGGATGAAAAGAAAGTTTCTAAGCAAACAGCCTTGTCTATGTCCAATTTACACGAGGCAACAATGTAAGTTCTGTCCTTTCTTTATTTCCTGAATGTTTATGAATTTTTCCTGAAAGTTTTAATATTTCATGTAGAGTTTGTAAATGAGACAGGATCCATACTTAGTGCATGGGAATATTCTATACCAAAGTAGTGAATCAATGTTTTCTTGCGGGAGAAAAGGGACAGAGGATAGTTCTTGCCTGGGCAGCACACCTGTGCTTTGAGCTGTTTGTTCAAACAATTTTGTGCCAAGTCTATGAAAAGAAAGGTGAAGGAACGTGAGCAGACAGGAGAAATAACTGCATACACAGAGGGGTTGATATGACACAATGGCACAGTAAAGATACGTGGACGTACCTATAATTTTTAGATATCTAACTACTCATGTTCTTACAAAGCATCCATAAAACAAAGCACAGTTTGCCCAAGCAGGATAGGCCACTCCTCTGTGTGTGTACTGGGACTGACTGTGTGACTGATGTAAAAACGCCAGCGACACGAGGCACACAAAGAGCAACAGGTGACCTGAGTGAAGGCTCACGTAACACATGGTCACGTGGGAGGCCACTGAACAAGCATAAAAATCAATATCTTCCTCTCATATGAATAGTTACTAGTGTGTGGATGCCCAGAAAACTTAACGCCACCTTCCTATCCTCTATTATAAAACCAAAATAAAGCCACCCTCCTGATGTGTAGATAAGAATTTCAGGTTGCATGAGATAACAAATCTCCAGATGCATGTGGGTGTTATCACTCAGCCCTGAAACTTGTTGAAGAACAAGAACAGATGTATTCTCATAGCTTATAGGATGGCATCTTTTTTCTTGTGTTTTGATTGGGAGCTCTTAGATGCATAAATGAAGTTGACTAGACTCTACTAAAACTGAAAGTAAATAAAAAAAGTCTTGGTTTTCCATGTAATTCAACTCTGTATGCACTAGTTTGCTCACAAACGCTGTGAAGATATTTCTGTGCATTTTGCTATTATGGGGGAAAAAAAACAAAAAACCAAACCCCAAACACAGCTGCATATGTCATAATGGAATTCCTTCTCTGCTTATAAACCTTATTCTCCAAACACCAGCTAAAACATGGGCGCCGAAAAATGTGGATTCTGGGTACCACTAGCATTTCCACTGCATCACAGTCACGTTTGGCAACAGCTGCTTTTAGGAATAAGGCTTGGATGTTGACTTTATTAATTCAGTTACAGAGAGGCAAAGCATTTCTGGTGAGATGCTGAGCCCTGTCACATCTGTAAGTTCCACACAGAATTAAGACCACAAGCAAGACTCAGCCCGGAGAGCTTTTCCTCCCATGTTGACCACAGAGTCTCTGCCTGCACTTTATTAGGAGGGTGAGCATACCAGTGAAAGGGAAGGAGCACAGCTGTTTATCGCGTCCGATGGCATGGTCAGTTAAAGGCATAGTTGGAGGGATGTGGTGGAATGCCTCAGGGCACTGAGCTCATAGCAGCAGGCTGCTTATGACTCAAAGCCACAGCTTTCACAACATTCCCAAGTGCACGGGGGAGGTTTTCACGTTCTTGTCTCTGTTTTACAGGCCCGTTCTGCTTGAACACCTCAGAGAAACAAAGGCAGATAAGAAAAGGCTTCGCAAAGCTCTGAGAGAGTTTGAGGAACAATTCTATAAACAGACAGGAAGGTAAATAACCGGCTCAACACAAGCCCTCTCCTTCTCCCCTCTGGGCTCCGAGGCAGACGTGTGTGTTTCTGCTAGGGTGGGTACTTTAAGGTGAGCAGGCCAAAGAAGCTGCTGCTAGGGACTGGAAGACACCATGGCAGTGTCTGGTCTCTGTGGAGATGTCCATCTCCCTGCTTAGTTCCTCCGGGATGTGCGCATCCCTGAGGATGGTCTGGAGCTGAGGATCCTCCACGACATGCCTGCAATGGGTATAAACCCCGCCTCAGCACGGGACCTTTCCTCAGCTGAAGAGAGGCTGCTAAGGGGTCTTTCTGAGGATGTGAATCTGCAGGGATTACACTGGGCTGTTGGGCCATTTTTAAAAGGCCAGATTTAAAAAAAGAAGTCACTGTGTCTTTCACCCTTAGAGAAATGCTGGCTAGTTTTACCCTCTCTTGTAGCATCCTCCCTTCATTTAGCAATCTTGTTCGCTGAAAACCATGGAGGATACGGGCATGTAGTATTCTGGTAACAGTTGTCAAAGCACTATGTAATAACTTCGCCGCATATTTGAGAATGCAGTAGTTACGCTTGCATAGCTGACAAGAAAGAAAATTAACTGCTAAATGAAAATTCAGTATTGCAAATACTATTCTTTCATTTCTGTCTATTTGAGCTTTTTGGTCCTGTAAAATTATCTTTATTTATTTATTATGTCACCTACAGTTAGGAAAAAAAAAGATAATCCAACCCAGTCCTCATTAGTTGTTGCAGAACTAATTTTAAAAACTGTTTCTCCTCTTACTCACAAAAGTGACAGCACTTTAACTTGCTTTTCATAGGAGTCCTCAAAAAGAAGATCGGGTGCCAATGGCCGAGGAATACTCCGAATACAAGCACACAAAAGCCAAAATCAGGCTCTTGGAGGTTCTCATCAGTAAGCACGATATTTCCAAAACGATTTGAAGCAAATGCAATGCTGTGGTATTGTTCTCCAGCAAAAAAACCCAAGCAAACAAACAAGTAATGAAAAAAGAGGAAGTAATTTTACAGGTCTTGGTCTGCTGCACAATTATTTGACACACTGAGATTTTTGATGCACTTTACCAATTATACTAGCTGGGATGAGAGAGGACAGCAATATGCAAGAATATTAAGCACGGGTGAGTGGCCTATAGTATATATTTTTTCCTTTTGAAAAAGCCCTGAAGTGCACTGTGAGAATGTTAGAATTTAAGGGGACACTGAAGTATTGTAGATCCCGAGTTTGACCTGCTCTTCGTTTCAAATAGTGTGAGGAAATGCTCTCCAGGATTTTAGTACATGACAACGCACCACGCATTTCTTTCCACAATTAACATGCACTGTAATTAACTGTTAACGGCAGTTCTCAGTGTGCTGATTCACTAGATTAGAAGAAACATGAGCTTAAAACAAACGAGGGAGAAACACGCTAATGCACTCCATCTTACAAAGATGGAGTTGCCATTCGATTCCAGTAGCTTCAAAGAAAGGTGCACACAAAGAACCAGTGCCAGGATTTGGTCTAAATTCTGGGAGCAGAGCGAAGTGATGCTACCTATGCAAAAAAAAGAAGGACGGAACATGGCTGCCAAATGGAATTGTTTTTTTAGAAATAAGAGAAAGTGTTTGGCAAAACAAAATAGATAAACGTTTACTGGGAAGAGACAAAACACATGTACTGGCTGCTGTCCTTTTCACTATGATTCACAGGACCTGGCTCATGGTACTTAAAATTCAGTAAATAGATCAACTACATGCTAATTTTTATTTCTGTATTAAACTTTGCACTTTATTTTGCCTGATGCTAGAACATTTGCTTTTCTAACTACCAAAGCTCGTTTAGCCGCATGCACTTTGTAAAATGTCAAAGTATTTCTTGTGTTATAAATTGCCACATATATATATTAAAACAAGACTAGATTATTGCATTATGCTCAGATATTTTGGATAGACAAAGTACATGGTATATAATTGAGTGTCACAGTTATCTGATGAGGAATGCTAGACTTCTTGTTTACTAAAATAAGATTATAAAAAAGATATTTTTCCATTGGAATTATGCATCTTTCTTAACTTTCAGAGCACCACAGTTTGTAATATTAATGAGATTTTTTCACTATTTGTGATAGACCATTTGTGTGAAAAATGGACTGTGAACAGAAGGATTATCAGTGGGTTTTGTCCTAGAAATGAAAAGCAGGGATCCTGGGAAATACCTAGCCCAGACATTAAGGAAGGAAGAATGAAGAATAAAGAATAAGAAAAAAAAAGGGGGGACCCGAATAAGTTGAATCGTGTTCAGTGTTTTGCTTTAACTGTCATTTTATATTGACCACGTAGTACAAGCAACCTGTTTTCTATCTCAGTAAGAAGATTTTCATTTTATAAAGCCTATTATGTACCAGTCATGTTTGTATTTATATTGTATGTAATGGCTCGGCATGATTTTGAAGACGTACACATTTTCAAGTAGTTTGGAGGAAAAAGTATGAACACTAAAAAAGGAATTTTTTATTTCTCAGAGATTTGTTGTTTCAGTGTACTTAGTAATTTCTAACTTAACTTTTATGAATCAGAAATGGTCTCCTTCGTAAATCTGTTTTAATTAAAGTCATCTAGAGCAACAGGAACAGATACAGAGCTATTTGAGGTTTACAAACTACATCTTTGATAAGGGAAAATGATTTCATGACATATGTATACAATTGATATTAAAATGTAATCTATATATTCTATATGATTGTATAATATTTTATACAACAGAACAAATAAAATATTTTTCTATTATATTTATTATGTCGAGACACAGTTTCTGTTTCCAGTTAGCTAATATAAATAACATAAATAACACTGTCAAACAACACGTTGGAAGTGCTGACATTTCTAGGCTCTGAAATTTAAATCATGCTGCAATTACAACCTTTCATGCTGTTTGGCGTTATCCCAGTATTTGTTCAGTAGTTAAAATGAATGCATATTTAAACACCATTTATAAGCCGTTATTTTTATTTTGCTAAAGCAGTTTATATAGGATTTTGTTATGTTTGGCAAGAAACAGAAAACAATTTTTGCAGCATCTAGGTATAAATGGTTGCCAGAAAGAAATCCAGGACTTCTAATCATTTAAAGCATCGGGGGAACA